GCATCAAAGTCAAGGGCACTAGTATTTGACCCCAGTTAAGAAACACTGGCCTGTAAGACACGAAGAATAGCACAGATATACTGACCTGGAAATAATATACTACATAGAGCTGAGTATAGGGGAGAATTCAGAGAAAATTCATCTCATTAAAAAATAATAAAAAGTTGAAGTATGGAGAAATATTCAAAATGATGTGTGCGAAGGAATTATTACTTCTGGTTTATATTATCCAGAACATCTCAATGGAATAGCTTTGTATTAATAATATCTCATCTATTATGTATATTGCAATATGCCTAACAGTTGCTGAAGTAATTAGATTACGCTAATTCTTCTCTTTTTCTTCCCTCTTTTGAGGAGGTAAAGTGATTAGGAGGGCAGTTTAAAGGGAAATATACCTTACATTACAGACTTCCTTTAGATTAGTAGCACCGACCATTACATTTTACTACTTCTGCTTTTATTCAAAATTCTGTTCTCATCTTGAGATCTGGTCTTTTCTTTCTCTTTTTTAATGCCCACCAATGACACTATATCATAGCATCATTGCATATATTTTTTGATTATGTAATATTTCACTAGAATGCAATTTTTCAACTTTAGTATAGTTCTACTTTAAAGGTGCAGAGTAAGGAACTCGGGGAATGAACAAGTAGCTGAATATTGAATCTTTAGTCTGAAAGCACTGAATTATTCTGGATTAGAGAGCCCTAACTTATCCTACCTATAATTCATTGATAAGATGCCTGTGCATGACAGATATTGCACAAAGCTTGATCATTAGTTATTATTTTAAACCTTCTGTAAGTGTTAAAAAATCTTTGGGGAAAAATGCAGAGGATTTAGAGTTGAATCTTCAGGCTTCAGCTGTTTTAGGTTTTTTTTTGAGGCAGTGTCTGCATAAGAGATTCCCTCTGTTAAGTCATCTCTAAAGCAATCTTGTACTACTTAACAGAGGTGCTATTTTCTACTTCATGTGTCTCCCTATAAATTGTGCAGGAGGCATTACAGAGAGCCCTGCCTTCCACTGAACTCACAAAAAGGCATAGCAGGAGAGGTTTTGCAGATTTATTGCACTCTGTGCATTGCCTTCTGGCAGGGAGGGACAGATTTAGCAGGAGGTGATGAAGGCAGAGCAGAGCCTGAAAGGACGCTGGAAAGTCTCTGCTAACCCCCAAAGGCTGCAGAAGAGCTCTGCTCAGCAGCTCTCATGAGAGCCCTGGTAATTAACATATTTTTTAGGCACTACTTAGAGATAGTGCTAGAGAAACAGAGCACAATAACCATTTCCTCTTTCTCCCCTGGCTCTGATGTCCACAATTCCCAGTGTAGGTTTGTGCAAGGAGGGCAGAGCTGCTCTGGGAGGAGGCAGGTGTTGAACCTCCTTCGTGGCGGCACTTAGTATAGGGTACACTTAGTGTGCCCCTTGCCAGCACTGGGCTTCCTATTGAGTAGCAGCAGCCCTACTGAGATGAGATAGTCCTTTTCACCCACACAGCAGGTAGCTACATCCTCCTGCTGAGATCTAACCGCTTAAAAAGGCTGATAAATATAGCACTAAACTGATAGCAGACCTGTGTCCTGGACTGGCAGCATTTGCCAGGCATTGTACCTGAAAGCTGCTTGAATGTGCTAGCTGTCCATATATAGGTAAGTGAGTCCAAGCACTTGTCTGTCCTTCTTCACCTCTTGTGCGGCATGAGGACCATAACAGCAGAGGATGCGTCCGTGTGATTGGGGGGAAAAAATAAATTTCCAATAGAAAGGTTCTGAGTTATCTTCCCATGTGTAACCAACAGGTCACGCAGAGTCAACATAGATTAATCTCAGCTTACTTTGAGGCAAAGGCAAAATAAAGAGACTGCAGAGGAGGACAGAATCTCACAGAGAGTCATGTCTATCATATTCTCAGAGATCCTCCATCTTCAATTATCACGGAGTTCAGCTTTGCGCGCTCCAATTTCAAATAAAATTGAATCTTACCAGGAGCAGAGCTGTGTGTGTGATGCTCTGTGGGTTGTTTTTCCACATGTGGCTGTTGCTTTATGGATTTCTGCGTTGGGCCTGACCCTCTAAAGAGCAGCCTTAATTGAGGGACTGCTTTGCTGAAATACTGTGTTCTGCTTCGAGATCACTTTAATTTGGGGTAAAAATTCAACTGTTGACATCAGGTTGAGCGACATAAGGCCTAAGTACTATTCTGAGGTTTCTTCGTCAGTTCTTGACTTCTCAGACCTTCACTGTTTTGCCATCTGCTATAATTGAAAATTGCCTTCTGCAACTAAAGGGAAAATCTAATTTCTCAGCAAGCCATATGGGGTTATTAAGATCTTTATACCCTGGTATGCCATAATGCCTGGGCCAAAAGGATCAGAGGGTATGTAAATATTGTGACTCATTTTATAGCTTCAGACTGCAAGTTAGGAATTGTTCTGATGCCTATCTTGCAATGAAAAGTGGTAGTCAAGTAAATTACTGCAGACATTGTTTGGCTAGGTCAACCTATGGCACATTTATTCAGGGCTGTGACAAGTGAGAAATATTTTTCATAGTGCTTGTTCACAAAGGGTACATCTTTGATATCAGTCTGACAAATGATCAGAACTAGACAGTGTCCTTAATTTTGCCCATTGAGTCTCAAGGCAGCCTCAAATCTTGATATTAAGAAACTAGAGACTACAATTTCCAGTCTTCAGGAGGACCCAGACGTGGCTTCTGATACACTGATCTAAAGATGATGATAGGAAATGTATTCCCTTTCTTAAGAATGGGAAAGCTGTTTCCCTGCATATGTCTATTCCCAAACATTTTTAAAACATAGCTGCTGAATCTTTTCTCTGTTTAGTTTTGACATTTTGCAAGATTCCTTCCAAGCGAAAGATACTTCTATATATTTGGTAGAACTACGTAAAGGGAGAATAAAGCAGAATTTTGGTTAACAAAGCTTCAAAAATGAATGCAGGAGCTGTGAAATTTACATGAAATTAAAGAAAGAATAGTCTGGTAAATGCAAATAAATGCAGAAAGGAGTATTTTAACTTTGATTCATGATCAATGCCAAAGGATTACCATCAAACCATTACTGTGTGGTGATGAAATAAAAACTCAATAGGAATAAAAATTCTGTATACATTGGCAAACTGATGGCAGTAAGCTATATTTAGTAGGAGAGATCAGAATATTTATCTTTCTTGAGCAATATACCTTTTGGTTATGTTTCAGGTTCAGTGTTTATATTAATTGCATCTCAGAGTATTCTTTGACTGGTGTATTGTGTATTATGTTCCCACATTTTACAATGTGACAATCATGGCCACTAGGTTTATTCATATTCTGCATATTATTAAATGAATTACTCTGAAAACAGGCATTATTTACTGCCTGTTGCCTTGCGCTATGCAACTAAAGGGGTTAAAGAATAAATGGTTAGAATCATATGAAAAAGAAAAGATTGTTTTTTCTTTTTGTTTCCCAGTGATCGTAATCTGATTGCATTTGCTTTCTCTGGAGGTCATGGTTTCTGTTTTAAGACAATAGAAACCGAAGAGGTTCTGCATAGGCTTTAGTTTCCATAGCAGTGAGCTAACTACACACTCCTATCTTGAAATCAATATAACTTAAAGGAGATAGAGGAAAAATGCCTAATTCTAATTGTATTTATACTGTCAAAACAGCTTTCTTTATATTTTAGCACTTTCAGAAATAACAGAATAAGAAAGAGACCACTACCACATTTTTTTCAATAGCTGGATTCAAGTCAGACTTCAGATATTTTTTTTCTAACCTAGTCTTACAAAAATTGTGAAGAAATTGTTTTTAGTCTGAAGTCGGACTGCATATTTTTTATGTGACTTTTACAATCGATCCTGAATCCTATACTTTGGATGCTTTGCACCCCATGTAGTAATGCTCCACCTGAAAGAAATGTAGTCTACTCACCCATTGGAGAAACACCAGAGTGCACCTGGTATGCTCTAAGCTGAAGGGTATTCATGGCCATAAAACCAGGATGGTGCCTGGAATTAGCCTGAAGGATGCCCCCCACAGTGTACATAGGCCCATGGAGCCATAGCTTTATGGAGGAAAAAGCCCTTGGGAGAAGGGTAGGGATCAGTAGAGACAGGAGGCACCAATCTTGTCATGAAGTTTGGACTCTTGGACTTCTCCATGACTTGATTTTCCCATAACTAATTCTCCTGCCCTGGTGGCATCACATCTCCATAGTGGTGCATTGCTCTTTGCCACGCTCTCCTGCACATCAGGCATATGATGTGCTTCTATTTTTTGTGGTTACCCCTCTTTTGTGGTAACATTGATTTGGCATGATTTTATGGAAAAACCCTCAGCCTGCGCTAATTGCAGTTTCCATTCTAAATTAGAGGGAAAAATAGAGATCTCAGTAATGAAGTGCTGTCTGTGGGAAGGTATGTGCTTAATACCAAATACCATTATGCCCAAATGCTAATTAAAGGCAGCATAAGCCCAGCAAGATCCTAACTCATCTGCATATGGTGGAGGTGAAATTCTCATTCATTTTCAAGCTCTGCTTATGAATTCTTTATGTACTGGTGATCCTTGTGATATGGATCACAACTGAGCCAGTGAAGGAATTCTATAATTGAAAATAATTTGGAGTCATCTCTAACCAAATCCAGCATTCAAAAAGAGCTAAAGATCAGGAACATGTCATGCCATTAGTGCCACAGGAGACCAACTATATTTATATTCATCTAGCTTCAATCTTAAGGATGTCCTGAAGTAGCTACATGACTCACCCACATATCCTCACCTACTGCATTATCAAAGCAGTAAACACATACTGTGATTTAATGTCAAATTTTGAGAATTGGTTTGTCTTAAACATCAGTGCCATGAGTGAGCAGTGGGTTATTGATTCTTTTATCAATATTAGAGGGATTCTTCCTGCACAAGATAAATTCATAGACTTTGTTTAATTTTTGATTGAAATCTTAGAGTATCTAATCAATATTTATTTTTACCTGTGTGAATGATTCAGGGCAAGATCAGGCTTCCTCATTTTTAAGTAGCAAGTTGCAAGCTTTGTCTCAATAAAACTGGCAACACTGGAAATATCATGCGGAGATGAATCAAAGGGTTTGCCCATAGCAGCACCTTTACTGCAAAGCTTTATAAGAAACAGAGAAAATATTTACTAATGTTGTAATATACCTTCTGTTAGATAGAAATGCTTTTTATAACTGATGAAAGGAGAAAACTGACTTCTAAGTAAAATATAGCCTGACTTTTACTACAGTTAGCACTACAACAACAATCAATACAAATACATGTGAATATAATATAAAATGCAATGTTTTCTTCCGTTGTGCAGTACTTGCCAAAAGGGATATCTGAGAGAGCAGATAGTAAGCAAAGAACTTAAACACTGGTAGGAAACAAATTATGGTTTTCCTCATCTCCAAAAATAAAGATTCAATACCAAGCTCCATATTGGATCAGTGTGTATCTTGAGGACAAAGTCCAAGGAAGAGTTGTCTTAGATGGTTATTTATAGATTTCAGCACAGCCAGGAGGTCGGCTCTGCTTTAGGATGTTGCTTTTGACCTGCAGTTAGGAAACAGAAATGCCGAGAGAGAGAACCTAAGAGAAACACTCACCCTCATTTACTGCCAGGGCTTGTCTTCTGGAAAACTGCTGTAGAAAGTAACCAGAATGGACCGAGCCATCTTTCCTATCTTCTCAAATGATAGATATTTATATCTATCATTTATATATAATTTAATAGATAGCATATTCTCTGTATTTAAAAAAAAGTTCCTGTTGGACTGGCCAAGCATCAGCTTTTCCTCACAGAAATTTATTTAATCAGAAATTCATTGTCTAGTTTATAGTGCGTCATCAGAACTAGATAATCCCCAGCTCCTCAGGTTTTCACGGAGCCCTATTAGAGCTGGAATACCTGACAGGATTGCCTTTGGTCTGATCGAGCAGGTTAGTCCTCAATCCTTTTGCTGTAACAGATGACCTGATTTTGAGATGCTGATTGCTACTACTAATCTTTTATGTCATAAGAAAACACTACTGTAATTTGTATATTAAGTCCAATGGTCTTTAAGAGATGACTGCACTCACTTTAAATCAACTTTAAGCATAAACTTCTGGTTTAGTGTTTATCAAGCTGTATGCTTAAACCCTGAGATCTTGCTGGGGATCCTCACAACAATGATCCCTTGGGGATGAACCTAGCCTCTTTAAACAGGGTGCAACCAAGGAAGTCTCATTGCAGTCAGGTTTCTTCAGGCTTTAAAAGTGGTGGAGGAGGAGGATTTTCCTTGTTTGCCTATTTTTTTTTTCCACTGCTAACATACAGTTACTGCTTGGTTACGATGAAGTGGTTGATCTTCAGGAGGTGCAATGTCACATCAGCAGCCTGAGATCTCTTTGAAAGATTAAATCTGTCAAGAAGACAGCTCTTCTGTGCACGGCTCTTTCTTCCTAAAAAGCAGGGAGGGATTACAAACCTGCATGCTCATACCTACAAAGTTAGCCCCGTTTTTAAGATTTTGTGCATTGGTTGGAGATCAGCTCAATTCTTCACAGGCAACAAGGGCCATTCAGCAGTGTCCCCCTAGTTCAGGAGATAAATCTCCTTCACATCTCTTCTCTAAGAGGAGTTGCACAGTGTATGTAATAACACCCATACATTTAAAATTTTCTATCATCTTGTTATCAGTAGAAGTTATAAATCAGCGGATTCATCACTTTTAACTTTGCTCATAGTACCTTATATATCTGCTGAAGTGTCTCTATGGGTGAGACATGCTATGTGTAGCTGAAAGACCCAGAGAATTATGTTCACTGATGTGAACATAAAAGTATCATCAAGTTTTTCTGTAATAACACTTTCCAGCTGAATTGGCCATGCTGTGACCTCTGTTAAATTTATGGGGATTGGAGGTTAGAGGCTACTCCCCAGACTTCCGAGTTCTTGAATGATTGTAAGAAGAAAAGAATCATTTAGGGATCCCTTCACTAAAATGTCACCATTCAGCACTAAGGCTCGTAGAATCTCCGATGTGAAGAGTTATGTTGAGAGCTGCGCAGCCCCTCGGTTATCTTGAACAAAAGACAAAACACAAATCTCTGCAAACCCTATCTAAAAAGATAAGGGTTCAGCAAATATATTTAAACACAGTGAAGATCTGTTTCTATCGCAGCTTCTCAATGTGATCTTGGCGTAATGGCCTCAAAGTCACAAATAACAATTCACTCTTTAATCTATCAGCGTCAGCTTAATGTTTGAAGGTTTTTTTTGTTAGTCTTTTTGACATTTAGTTTGTATACTTTTAGGTCAAGAATTCTCTTATGAATTTTTGTGCAGCTGTTCCCCGGTGGATCCCTGGGTTTGATTTGATCCCCTGCATACCTGTTCCATCCCAACAACATGCACTAAAAACAAGCCTGAATTTAATTTTACTGGAATAGCTCATTCTATACTTAGTAGAACTGTTATGAGTACACAAAATGGACCCATTAAATTATTTCAATAAGATGCACAATAAATTAAATGTACCCTTTGGTAATATCATCATCGTAATGGATGTTTTTGGTAGCAATATAACTACTGGAAAAGGTTTGCATTAGGCAAACCATGCCGGTGGAGTCCAGCAAGCCCAGTGTTATTCTCTAAGCTCTGATGGAAATGCATTTGATTTGTTTCTTCACCCTTTATTGCATTTTGCTGTCATTTCTGATAAAAGGCCTTGGCTATATAGCAGGAGACAGGCTGTTCCCTGGTGTTGTCCTGCCTGCTGCTGGACATGGAGGCAAACAGAGGCTTTTTTGGAGCTGAGGACGCTCCATTCAGGAGCCCTGGGGCAGGATTTGGGCAGGAAAGAGGCAATGGGCTGGGAACTTGTAGCCCAACTGAACGTGGGGCAAAAAGCAGCAGAAAGACTTGGAGTTTCAAAGGGCAAGAGCAAAAGGGAAAATTTGCCAGGGATGCAGAGGGAAACATGTAGGTAAAACTGCTGTGGCTGGGGAAGTCCTACTTGCCTGGGAGCTAGGGAAGAAGAAAGCTGTGCCACGCACAGCTCTAACAAGCAGGGAGGAGATTTGTTTGCAATTTTCACCTCTCACCCAGCAGAACTGAGTTTTCTTTCTCTTGCTCTGGTCTGCAGTCCAATAATGCTACCTTTGAAGATCAAAAGGCCTCTTGGTGTTTTTTCAGAGTGCTTGCTTTAAGTAAAAGGTGAAAGCAGCTCCAGCTCCTCCGAATATCTTGAGGTCATAGCACAAGGACATTCAGGCAGGGAGGTGGTGCTGGAGAGAGGCAGTTAAATCTTGTATTGCTGAGGGTTTCTTTTTACAGAACTATGTTACAGAATTTGATTTTTAATTCTGAACTCGGAAATTTGGGGGTACCCTTCGCTTTAGTGCACTTCTGGATGTGCAGAAATCTTGTTGATGTCTTAAAGGTTATGGAGCCTATGAAGCTGAAGAAAATAGTTCAGAACAGTTGAAGCTTCGCAGCCAATCTGGGGTTAAAAAGCTGTTTTTTTTCATATTATGTTCTTTGCCATAGCTGGCAAATATAGCAGTATCTTTCAGTATTGGTCTACCTAAGAGGAGTTACCTGTGAGAAGATAGGAATATTCTTTCATAAATAACATGTTAAAAATACTACTCTATATATGTATATATTTTTTGGTAGAGACCATTTCTACAACTGTAGATTTTGTATGCATGACGTATGCAAAATCTAAAAGACTACTGAAATATCACACTCACTTATGCATATAGATGAAATGTAATCAAAGTGTTACCTCCAATTTTGCAAGGAGAGAACTGAGATGTGTAGACATTAATTTCGTTACACTTTCACTGATAAAGGAGGTATCCCTTACAATGTGTATGAGGCCATTAATACATTAACGAAACCATAGTCACATAAATGCTAGTGATAAAGTGTTTTGTCAAAGGTCACGGAGGAAGTCCGTGGTGCTGTGAACTCAGCATAGATCTTGTGGATGATGTTAAGGCTTTAATTTTGGCAGTAGCAGGTAAGGAAGTTTTATGAATAAAGACCTCCCAGGCATTAGCTAATAAGCATCCCACCCTGGCTTTGATAAAGGACCAGTGGGGATGCTAATCTATAAGCTAGCTTGCTAGTTAGCATGTGTAAATTGGAGGAATAAAATTAGGGCTGGATGCTCTATAAGTTGGGGTGTTTGGCTTGCCTGCCAGAGCTGTTTTGGTCGGGAATAAGACACAAGACGTAGCTGTAAGAAACTAGCAGTGGTAGCAGTTTACTAATTACTGCTATGGATCTGGTAGATATATTCCTGATTTTAATGTTTCACCTTCAAGAATAAGATAGGTTGATGCCTATCTACCCCTCTGTGAGTGTGGATGCAGATCATATACCTGGTAGCAAATCTAGCTAAGAACACAGGTGAATGGGATCAAATGTTGCATTTAAGCAAGTGATTCTTTGACCCCCTCAGGATCAGTTGCACTTTCCTGTGCCAGTCTGAAAGGGTTAAGAGCAAGTCTGACACCAGCAAAAGCCTGGTAGCCTTGCTGGAGCTGATCGCTTTGATTTTTTTTTTTTTCTCCTGCCCCCCAAAACAGAGGAATGCTTAATCATGCCTCCTAGTTTTAAAGATAACTTGATGCTTTCCCCTGAAGTGATTTATTTCAGAGCGACTAATCGGAGGGACAAACCCGAAATGGCAGGATATGTTTAATTAGCCTCTTCCCTTGTGCCTCGCCAGCAGCCCTGCCCAGGCGCCCTCGCTGCAGAGAGGTCCAAGCGCTCTGTGGAGCAGCGGCGTTGCGCTGCACACCAGGCACCTGGCGAGCTCAGCACTAACCTCAGCCCAGAAAATGCCTGCTAAGAAAGGCTGCTGCAAAGAAAAAGGCTTTCAAAGCCTGCTAGCAAGCACTGCTGTTACAGCTTCATACAGTCAGGCTGATAAGAAACTGCCTTTTGCATATTGCAGTGTATCCCAGTTCTTGCAGCTATTGGGTACCATCAAAAATATGCTAGGAGAGCAGCATAGCAAAGAGCCAGTTAATAATGGTGTTTTCTGTGTGGAAGAGATCTGTATGGAGGGGGAAAAAGAGAAAGGGATTTTTCTCGATGTGATTGAATGCAGCATAAGT